ACCCCTCCTCCGACTAGTAGTTTGGTAAGAACTGTCTCTTGAATGAGAATGTGCTTTTATGGCATGAATGGTGTAAAGCTTTTGAGACCTTCATTCGGGTACACCATCGTCACCATGACAACATTAGGGTAGGTACCATCAAGGAGAATGAATGAGATGGAGGTTGAGGGGAAGGGGCGCAGAGCTCGCTGGAGCTTTATTGATGCGCTCTCGGAGGCTGGCATTGGGCGGCTCGGGCTGTCTGCCTCGCTGTCCCCGCTCCCGGGGCCCGGTCAGGAGAAAGTCTCGGTGCGCCCCAGCCCCGCGCGCACTCGGCCAGGTACGGACCGCGGGAGAGGCGCCTTCCGCGCGGTGCCAGATGCTGCTGCCGCCTCGGCGGCGGCGGCTGCTGCCAGCTCCCGGGCTCTGCAACTGTCACCCCGCACCTGGGCTAAACTTGAGCACAGAGTGAAGGGCGACTGGGCGAACGCTCCTGGCGGGCCCCTCGGGGATGCTTGCGGGCATGGGGGAGGTCTATCTGTCATAACGCCCCCCACTGTGCCCACCGCGCATCACCTCCATTTCTGAGAACAACTAGCCAGGAGTGGGGTGCGGCGACTGGACCCCAAAGACAGACACGGGGCAGCGGCCGTGCCCAGGTCTCCAACAGGTCGCCTTTTGAGACTCCTTTGGCGGGAAGGGACACTTGGAGAGGGAAGGCTGGATAGCCTGTGAAGAGAAAGAAGAAAAGGTCTGGAATTCATCTGAAGACTGTGGCTGCCCTTCCTCTCCTCCGTTCTACAGGCACCTCCAAGACCCCCCACTGTCCAGACGGCTCTGTGGGGAGGAGCCACAAACACCTGTTTGAAGACACGGCTTCATCTAAAGTCACTTGTGTGCTGATCTGTGCCGAGCTCAGCTGCTGCCGGAGGATTTCAGGGTTCTGGCAGTGCTGACGGGTAGGACACTTGGGATTTTCTGCCCCAACACCAGTCTTTGAGGGACATTTGGCCTCCTGTGTCCTGCACCTTCAGCAGGAGACCACTTTAGGACCAGTGATACCTTCGGATTGCATTCCTTGGCAGTCTCCTTGCACTCGAGAGGACTAAAGGAGTGTTCAGGGCTCCTCCGACCCATTGGACAGGCCTGGTTACCCCTACCCTCCACCTCTCCAAGGAACCATGGCGGCAGGGGTGGCAGCATGGCTACCCTTTGCCAGGGCAGCGGCCATCGGATGGATGCCCGTGGCCTCGGGGCCCATGCCAGCTCCCCCGAGGCAGGAGCGCAAGAGGACTCAAGATGCTCTGATTGTGCTAAACGTCAGTGGCACCCGGTTCCAGACGTGGCAGGACACCCTGGAGCGCTACCCGGACACCCTGCTGGGCAGCTCGGAGAGGGACTTCTTCTACCACCCAGAAACGCAGCAGTATTTCTTTGACCGTGACCCGGACATCTTCCGCCACATCCTGAATTTCTACCGCACCGGGAAGCTCCACTACCCACGCCACGAGTGCATCTCTGCATACGACGAAGAGTTGGCCTTCTTTGGTCTCATCCCCGAGATCATTGGCGACTGTTGTTACGAGGAGTACAAGGACCGCAGGCGTGAGAACGCAGAGCGTCTCCAGGATGACGCCGACACCGACAACACTGGCGAGAGTGCGCTGCCCACCATGACCGCGCGCCAGAGGGTCTGGAGGGCCTTTGAGAACCCCCACACCAGCACTATGGCCCTGGTCTTCTACTACGTGACGGGCTTCTTCATTGCTGTCTCCGTCATTGCCAACGTGGTGGAGACGGTGCCATGTGGGTCCAGCCCAGGCCACATCAAAGAACTGCCCTGTGGTGAGCGCTACGCAGTGGCCTTCTTCTGCTTGGACACGGCCTGCGTCATGATCTTCACCGTTGAGTACTTGCTTCGCCTGGCTGCAGCGCCCAGTCGGTACCGCTTTGTACGCAGTGTCATGAGCATCATCGACGTGGTGGCCATCCTGCCTTATTACATTGGGCTGGTGATGACGGACAATGAGGATGTCAGTGGAGCCTTCGTCACCCTGCGCGTCTTCAGGGTCTTCCGGATCTTTAAGTTTTCCCGTCACTCGCAAGGCCTGCGCATCCTGGGCTACACTCTGAAGAGCTGCGCCTCCGAGTTGGGCTTCTTGCTCTTCTCTCTCACGATGGCGATCATAATTTTCGCTACTGTGATGTTCTATGCAGAGAAAGGGTCTTCTGCCAGCAAGTTCACCAGCATCCCTGCTGCCTTCTGGTACACCATCGTCACCATGACAACATTAGGGTAGGTACCATCAAGGAGAATGAATGAGATGGAGGTTGAGATTGTCTGGTAACTTAGAGACAATGTTTCTTCCCCTCTCCACCCCCTCCAGTCATTTTAGGAAAGCATTGGATAAATGGCTTTGAAGGACTTCTTTGATCTATGAAATGTGGGTGCTCCATAGATTGTGTTATATGAGAAGTTGCTGGCAAAAGTTGTGTGTTGATGCCTGAAAGTGATAGGATGTGATTTACAAGATTGTATGCACACATGGATAAAGTGTTGTGATAATTAAAAACAAGATATATGTCGAAATAACGATATGAATATGCACAATAAATATTGATCTAGAAAGTGATCCTTGCACTCAAAAGTTTCCATATAGATTTGAAATATTGTTTTCATATAAATGTATGCTTGTCAGATGTATTTTTCCTCTTCTAAGAACCATAAATCTTATTTTATAACATTATAAAACATGTTATTGTAGCTATCACTATGAAAGGATTGTATAATCTGTATGTGCATATTCATATATTTGCAGTTCATAATGGCTAATAGGTTCTTCAATGCTTCCGAACTTGAAGGCTAGAACAGTTCAAATCTACAAGATGTAGTGGAGCGAGACATGCATATTTAAAACTTTAACTTCATAGTTTCAAATTCAGACTTCCAGCTACATAATTTTCAGAAACTGCAAATTCCATCAGGCCAATGTTCCCTAAATAAAACTAGAAAGAAGAGTAGTGCCTCTTGGCTTGGAGAGCCACCAAGGACTGGTTGTGTTCTAGAATTTCAGCTTGAGATTTTGTTCTAGAATCTTTTGTACACTTTTTAATTTTGGAATAATAATGGTTTTCATCCAAAGGGACATTTTCTGAATGAATGTGGTTCTTTAAAATAGAATGTTATGGCTCGAGATATTTTTAGGTGACAGAAAAAAAATAAAAAAGATTGTGAATGATTAATAAGGATTAATCAAACTGCAGAAAATTCCGAGCAGTTTATGGATTAGAGAATCTAATAAAATAAGAGGGGAGAGCCTTTTACTTTTATTAGTTCTTAGATAAGCCAGGGAGTGATGTTACTGCCTCTTTTCAGCTTTATGTTACTTTTCTTGCATAGGTAATCAGTTCAATACACGTTTTGTAATGGCTGTAAAAAAAAAAAAAAGGTTATTCCCAAGGCTGTTCTTTAAGTTTCGTGTTTCTGACTAATTTAATTGGCTCCCTTAATAGGCAGTGTGGTTAAGTCAACATAATTTTATTAGTCATATTGTGTTGAACAGAATTTCTCATGTTAATATGTGGCAAAATCATAAGCAGTTTTATATGGATTTTTTTACTAATTACAGAAAAATAAAACAATAGTTATTTTGATTTATTCTTTTACAAACTTTTGAAAGACCTAATGTACATTTTCTAAATTGAATTAAGGAAAACCCATATCCTACTTATCCTACTGTTTGTACTTCCCTTTAATTATCTGAGTAACATTTCAATCTTATGAACAGGATGTTGAATATTTAGCAATATTTATGCTAATTCCTTATCAGAGAGGTTCGAGTTCTGGGATTTTTTTAAAAGTCTTTATTATATGACATCATTAAGAAAAATTAAATATTATAGAACACAATTTTTACTTTATAATAAGGCACATCAGAATCATAAGAGGACTTATATATATAGTATTAGTAGAATAAAGGTATTAAAAAAGGAAATATGTATATTTATTTTTTCCTCACAAATTTTAATACTATACACTTGCTTGATGGTTTAATAAGAGTGCCATGATTATAATAAATTTTGATGCAATAATGATTATACTGGCTAGAAATTCAGCTCTAGGCAGGGACAACCAGTGTCGTTCTTTTTCCTTGATACCATTTTCACATTTTTGTTTTGAAAACTGTTTTGGCTTTTGATTATTTTTATTATACTGATAAAATACTTTTAAGAGTCTCTTTTCAAAATGCTTTACACAAATCTCATAATGCCTAATGTGTTTGATTTAGTCTACGTGTTCTACATATAAGTGAATTTGAACAATTAAATGCTCACTTTCTGAGAACTTGGAAGTAAAGTGGGAGTTACATTTATGATCTAACTTCCACTGAAGTAGACATTTGAATTTCTAAGAAATCAGACTAATTAAGCATCATGATAGAAGGTAGCAGTCTTACCTTTAAGACCTCATTGAGTAGTTAGCTTGTTGCATTGCGGTGACGCCGTTTGTGGTCCTGTGAATCTGGAAGTCATGCCAGGAGCACTTCCAATATCAGCAGGATCACACATACTGGATAGGTTCCAGCAGAGCTTCCAGACTAAGGCAGACTGGAAAGAAGTAGCTAGTGAGCCATTAAAGAAAAAAAATGGTCAGTGAAAACTTTATGGCTTTCACTGTAGAAAACTGGCTGATAAAGTGTCAGGAGATAACCCCCTCATGTTGAAAAAAACCCCTCCTCCGACTAGTAGTTTGGTAAGAACTGTCTCTTGAATGAGAATGTGCTTTTATGGCATGAATGGTGTAAAGCTTTTGAGACCTTCATTGGCTGAGCACAATTCATAATTGAAGGCATTTACACCTTGTATAGCTTAAAACAGATCTAACAGGTGATTAAGATGTATTGATAATTATTGACTATTAGAATGTCAAAGTTGAAAACAAATGTCAGTGATTGGAAAATATGGCTTTAGTGATAGAAACTATGCGGGAGCTAGCAAGATAGAATTATGTGCTTACGTGGTATAGAAATGTTCATGTAATCAAAATACAGTCACTTCAACTAAAGAATATATATGAATATTTAACACAATGTAGGTTTCCATAAGCTAAATTCTGGCTCATAGAATGGTTATCCAAAGAAGTACATCAAGATCATTGTTATTCAAAGCTGAGCTAATCACTTAGATGCCATCTCTCAGGCCACATTGGACAATACTCAGTTGTGCAATAAAACACATTCCATTAAACAGTTTTAAGTCTGGGCCACTTCCTATTATTTAAAGTAGGAAGCATCAAAACAGTCTTTTTAAAAGTACAGATACCAGGGAGGGAGTGTTTCTTTTACTTTTGAAAGAGAGGAGTGAACTGGGGGGTGGGGAGAGAGGGCTGGGCGGGGAGAGAAGTGCAGCAATGAATGAATGGAAATCCAAAATCTCTGTAAATGTTCATTAAAATTATTTTTTTAAAAAGTACAGATTTCATAACAGATAAATCAGCGTATTGCTGTGTAGCTACGTAGATCTGTGCCTGCACTGTTTGTGAGCATATTTGAGAAATCTCTCCTTGGTCTTAAAGAAACTCGGTTGTTTTGTGGTTAAGGATTTGTGCTGCCAACTCAAAAGGAGGTAGTTCAAATCCACTCCGAGTGTGAAAGATGGGTGGTCTTCTCCTGTGTGATTTATCTGAAAACCCACTGGTGGTTGAGCTATGTATGAGTTGGTTCCAACTTGATGGCAAAGAGTTACTTGTTTGTTGTTGCTAGGTCTTGATGTACCTCTGGAGATGCAGTGCTAGACATGGTATTCTGTTAACCAGAAAGCTGACACTTCAAACCTATTGGCAGCTGTTTGGAAGAAATACGGACTGTGTCCTTCCTTAAAGACGTAAAGCCTTGGATATCAGTGGTGACTGGCTTTGTGTGGGAATGGACTCTATGGTAGTGGGTTTGGCTCTGTGAAACCCTGGTCCATCTTTTACACCCTGCTGCCCTACCAGTGTGAACTGTAATCACTACCATAAACTGTTTGAGAGAAAAGAACCTGGAAAACCTTTTTACCCTAAAGGCTTTCAACAAATAATTTGTTTTCTTCATATTATCTTCTTTTTTCATATAAATGATATTATTTGTTGCCAAATCTAGTACATTTCCAGAAGTTTATGAAGAAGCAAAAATTATTTTGTGAAAATACATTCCTAGTGTCCAGATTCAGTTTACCTATTATCCCTCCCTGATACCTGACTTAGAAGTATCCCTGGAGAGCTGATTAACTAATGTGCGGACTTATTATGCAAGGTGATATTTGCATTCTTGGTCCTATTTGCTAACTACTTAGATTCTTTTTAAGAAAAAGAGATTGCATTACATTGCATTACTGAGAGAATAGAATTTAAGAATTTGAGAAATGCTAGTTTTATGTCTTATATCTCTCCTTTAATTTTAAAACAAAATTATTTTAATAAAAAATTAGCATAGGAGAGGAAGCTACAATATATTTTTGTAGAGTTCGTTATGATAAGACTCTGTTTTTAGCTTCAGACATCATTGTTATTTCTGAACAAACCTGGAAAATGAAGACGTTCATTTATCTTGTACACTCATGAGAAATGCATCTGGTAGGATTGAGTCTTTAAGGAAACAATGTATAATCATGCATGTGTATTGTTTGGTCGATGTCCAACTCCATATATGTCTGTGGTCTAAAAACGTTGCAATAGTCAGCTTCCCTCATTCCACACAAGTATCCTATGTTCCTTGTACACAAAGTAAAACATATAATGGGGGTAGTGCATAGATAATCACTTATACATATGTCTTTTTGTAGTTGTAATAAGTGCCTATGTTGCTGACTTACTATATGCATTGTACTGTACTTTGCATCTAAAAAGTTTACCATATCACAGTGTATGTTTGACTTGAGAGATGCCTCAACCAATCTCTTGTTTCACACATTATCACTATGGTAGAATTGTTTCTTTGCTTGACTTTCCTTCAAATATATTTTTATGGAGTGCATAATGGTTTCCAAATGCAATAAAACCACTGCTGCTGATGGAAGCAGTTTTGACAAAGGAGAAATATTGATGAGGAAATTAAACAAAATATTATTGAACAACACGAAGGTGGACAATCATTGAATGATAGCTCTTGCTCACAGTTTAGGTATATTGCACTTAAAAATCATAAAACAATATTTATTATCAAAGGGAGGGGATCTCCAAGCTGTTAAAGGATTAGCTCTGAGAGCTACAAAACTAATGGAAATGTTCTTGTTGTTGTTATATATAACCAGGTCAGA